GGCCATCTAGTGAGCTATATGGCTATATTCACCCGTGGTGTCGCTCCTGCCATCGGCCCCGTCGGCCCCCGCGGCCAGCTAGTGAGCTATATGGCTATATTCACCCGTGGTGTCGCTCCTGCCATCAGCCCCGTCGGCCCCCGCGGCCAGCTAGTGAGCTATATGGCTATATTCACCCGTGGTGTCGCTCCTGCCATCAGCCCCGTCGGCCCCCGCGGCCATCTAGTGGGCTATATGGCTATATTCACCCGTGGTGTCGCTCCTGCCATCGGCCCCGTCGGCCCCCGCGGCCAGCTAGTGAGCTATATGGCTATATTCACCCGTGGTGTCGCTCCTGCCATCAGCCCCGTCGGCCCCCGCGGCCAGCTAGTGAGCTATATGGCTATATTCACCCGTGGTGTCGCTCCTGCCATCGGCCCCGTCGGCCCCCGCGGCCATCTAGTGAGCTATATGGCTATATTCACCCGTGGTGTCGCTCCTGCCATCGGCCCCGTCGGCCCCCGCGGCCAGCTAGTGAGCTATATGGCTATATTCACCCGTGGTGTCGCTCCTGCCATCAGCCCCGTCGGCCCCCGCGGCCAGCTAGTGAGCTATATGGCTATATTCACCCGTGGTGTCGCTCCTGCCATCAGCCCCGTCGGCCCCCGCGGCCATCTAGTGAGCTATATGGCTATATTCACCCGTGGTGTCGCTCCTGCCATCAGCCCCGTGGGCCCCCGCGGCCAGCTAGTGAGCTATATGGCTATATTCACCCGTGGTGTCGCTCCTGCCATCAGCCCCGTCGGCCCCCGCGGCCATCTAGTGAGCTATATGGCTATATTCACCCGTGGTGTCGCTCCTGCCATCGGCCCCGTCGGCCCCCGCGGCCAGCTAGTGAGCTATATGGCTATATTCACCCGTGGTGTCGCTCCTGCCATCAGCCCCGTCGGCCCCCGCGGCCAGCTAGTGAGCTATATGGCTATATTCACCCGTGGTGTCGCTCCTGCCATCAGCCCCGTCGGCCCCCGCGGCCAGCTAGTGAGCTATATGGCTATATTCACCCGTGGTGTCGCTCCTGCCATCAGCCCCGTCGGCCCCCGCGGCCATCTAGTGAGCTATATGGCTATATTCACCCGTGGTGTCGCTCCTGCCATCGGCCCCGTCGGCCCCCGCGGCCAGCTAGTGAGCTATATGGCTATATTCACCCGTGGTGTCGCTCCTGCCATCGGCCCCGTCGGCCCCCGCGGCCATCTAGTGAGCTATATGGCTATATTCACCCGTGGTGTCGCTCCTGCCATCGGCCCCGTCGGCCCCCGCGGCCAGCTAGTGAGCTATATGGCTATATTCACCCGTGGTGTCGCTCCTGCCATCAGCCCCGTCGGCCCCCGCGGCCAGCTAGTGAGCTATATGGCTATATTCACCCGTGGTGTCGCTCCTGCCATCGGCCCCGTCGGCCCCTGCGGCCATCTAGTGAGCTATATGGCTATATTCACCCGTGGTGTCGCTCCTGCCATCGGCCCCGTCGGCCCCCGCGGCCAGCTAGTGAGCTATATGGCTATATTCACCCGTGGTGTCGCTCCTGCCATCGGCCCCGTCGGCCCCCGCGGCCATCTAGTGAGCTATATGGCTATATTCACCCGTGGTGTCGCTCCTGCCATCGGCCCCGTCGGCCCCCGCGGCCAGCTAGTGAGCTATATGGCTATATTCACCCGTGGTGTCGCTCCTGCCATCGGCCCCGTCGGCCCCCGCGGCCAGCTAGTGAGCTATATGGCTATATTCACCCGTGGTGTCGCTCCTGCCATCAGCCCCGTCGGCCCCCGCGGCCAGCTAGTGAGCTATATGGCTATATTCACCCGTGGTGTCGCTCCTGCCATCAGCCCCGTCGGCCCCCGCGGCCAGCTAGTGAGCTATATGGCTATATTCACCCGTGGTGTCGCTCCTGCCATCAGCCCCGTCGGCCCCCGCGGCCAGCTAGTGAGCTATATGGCTATATTCACCCGTGGTGTCGCTCCTGCCATCAGCCCCGTCGGCCCCCGCGGCCATCTAGTGAGCTATATGGCTATATTCACCCGTGGTGTCGCTCCTGCCATCGGCCCCGTCGGCCCCCGCGGCCAGCTAGTGAGCTATATGGCTATATTCACCCGTGGTGTCGCTCCTGCCATCGGCCCCGTCGGCCCCCGCGGCCATCTAGTGAGCTATATGGCTATATTCACCCGTGGTGTCGCTCCTGCCATCGGCCCCGTCGGCCCCCGCGGCCAGCTAGTGAGCTATATGGCTATATTCACCCGTGGTGTCGCTCCTGCCATCAGCCCCGTCGGCCCCCGCGGCCAGCTAGTGAGCTATATGGCTATATTCACCCGTGGTGTCGCTCCTGCCATCAGCCCCGTCGGCCCCCGCGGCCATCTAGTGAGCTATATGGCTATATTCACCCGTGGTGTCGCTCCTGCCATCGGCCCCGTCGGCCCCCGCGGCCAGCTAGTGAGCTATATGGCTATATTCACCCGTGGTGTCGCTCCTGCCATCGGCCCCGTCGGCCCCCGCGGCCATCTAGTGAGCTATATGGCTATATTCACCCGTGGTGTCGCTCCTGCCATCGGCCCCGTCGGCCCCCGCGGCCAGCTAGTGAGCTATATGGCTATATTCACCCGTGGTGTCGCTCCTGCCATCAGCCCCGTCGGCCCCCGCGGCCAGCTAGTGAGCTATATGGCTATATTCACCCGTGGTGTCGCTCCTGCCATCAGCCCCGTCGGCCCCCGCGGCCAGCTAGTGAGCTATATGGCTATATTCACCCGTGGTGTCACTCCTGCCATCAGCCCCGTCGGCCCCCGCGGCCAGCTAGTGAGCTATATGGCTATATTCACCCGTGGTGTCGCTCCTGCCATCAGCCCCGTCGGCCCCCGCGGCCAGCTAGTGAGCTATATGGCTATATTCACCCGTGGTGTCGCTCCTGCCATCAGCCCCGTCGGCCCCCGCGGCCAGCTAGTGAGCTATATGGCTATATTCACCCGTGGTGTCGCTCCTGCCATCAGCCCCGTCGGCCCCCGCGGCCAGCTAGTGAGCTATATGGCTATATTCACCCGTGGTGTCGCTCCTGCCATCAGCCCCGTCGGCCCCCGCGGCCAGCTAGTGAGCTATATGGCTATATTCACCCGTGGTGTCGCTCCTGCCATCAGCCCCGTCGGCCCCCGCGGCCAGCTAGTGAGCTATATGGCTATATTCACCCGTGGTGTCGCTCCTGCCATCAGCCCCGTCGGCCCCCGCGGCCAGCTAGTGAGCTATATGGCTATATTCACCCGTGGTGTCGCTCCTGCCATCAGCCCCGTCGGCCCCCGCGGCCAGCTAGTGAGCTATATGGCTATATTCACCCGTGGTGTCGCTCCTGCCATCAGCCCCGTCGGCCCCCGCGGCCAGCTAGTGAGCTATATGGCTATATTCACCCGTGGTGTCGCTCCTGCCATCAGCCCCGTGGGCCCCCGCGGCCAGCTAGTGAGCTATATGGCTATATTCACCCGTGGTGTCGCTCCTGCCATCAGCCCCGTCGGCCCCCGCGGCCAGCTAGTGAGCTATATGGCTATATTCACCCGTGGTGTCGCTCCTGCCATCAGCCCCGTCGGCCCCCGCGGCCAGCTAGTGAGCTATATGGCTATATTCACCCGTGGTGTCGCTCCTGCCATCAGCCCCGTCGGCCCCCGCGGCCATCTAGTGAGCTATATGGCTATATTCACCCGTGGTGTCGCTCCTGCCATCGGCCCCGTCGGCCCCCGCGGCCAGCTAGTGAGCTATATGGCTATATTCACCCGTGGTGTCGCTCCTGCCATCGGCCCCGTCGGCCCCCGCGGCCATCTAGTGAGCTATATGGCTATATTCACCCGTGGTGTCGCTCCTGCCATCGGCCCCGTCGGCCCCCGCGGCCAGCTAGTGAGCTATATGGCTATATTCACCCGTGGTGTCGCTCCTGCCATCAGCCCCGTCGGCCCCCGCGGCCAGCTAGTGAGCTATATGGCTATATTCACCCGTGGTGTCGCTCCTGCCATCAGCCCCGTCGGCCCCCGCGGCCATCTAGTGAGCTATATGGCTATATTCACCCGTGGTGTCGCTCCTGCCATCGGCCCCGTCGGCCCCCGCGGCCAGCTAGTGAGCTATATGGCTATATTCACCCGTGGTGTCGCTCCTGCCATCGGCCCCGTCGGCCCCCGCGGCCATCTAGTGAGCTATATGGCTATATTCACCCGTGGTGTCGCTCCTGCCATCGGCCCCGTCGGCCCCCGCGGCCAGCTAGTGAGCTATATGGCTATATTCACCCGTGGTGTCGCTCCTGCCATCAGCCCCGTCGGCCCCCGCGGCCAGCTAGTGAGCTATATGGCTATATTCACCCGTGGTGTCGCTCCTGCCATCAGCCCCGTCGGCCCCCGCGGCCAGCTAGTGAGCTATATGGCTATATTCACCCGTGGTGTCACTCCTGCCATCAGCCCCGTCGGCCCCCGCGGCCAGCTAGTGAGCTATATGGCTATATTCACCCGTGGTGTCGCTCCTGCCATCAGCCCCGTCGGCCCCCGCGGCCAGCTAGTGAGCTATATGGCTATATTCACCCGTGGTGTCGCTCCTGCCATCAGCCCCGTCGGCCCCCGCGGCCAGCTAGTGAGCTATATGGCTATATTCACCCGTGGTGTCGCTCCTGCCATCAGCCCCGTCGGCCCCCGCGGCCAGCTAGTGAGCTATATGGCTATATTCACCCGTGGTGTCGCTCCTGCCATCAGCCCCGTGGGCCCCCGCGGCCAGCTAGTGAGCTATATGGCTATATTCACCCGTGGTGTCGCTCCTGCCATCAGCCCCGTGGGCCCCCGCGGCCAGCTAGTGAGCTATATGGCTATATTCACCCGTGGTGTCGCTCCTGCCATCAGCCCCGTCGGCCCCCGCGGCCAGCTAGTGAGCTATATGGCTATATTCACCCGTGGTGTCGCTCCTGGCATCAGCCCCGTCGGCCCCCGCGGCCAGCTAGTGAGCTATATGGCTATATTCACCCGTGGTGTCGCTCCTGGCATCAGCCCCGTCGGCCCCCGCGGCGGGCCAGGCGGGGAGGGCGGAGGCGCCGGCGGGCGCGGCGGGCACGAGCAGCGCGGCGGCGTCCACGCGCGCGGAGGGCCACACCATACTCGGCGGGATGCGCTCCCACGTCTCCGTCGCTATATAAACAACAAAATAGGAAGCTTTAAGTTAGGCATCATCATTGTAAGCCTATTAATGCCCCCCCCTGCTGGGGCATAGGCCTGCCCTATGGGTGGAATAGGGATATCCAGCCATGATCCACCACCCGGGATCAGGGCGGATTGATGGGTGCTAACGACTGCAAATGCAGCCAGGACCGAAGCTTCTCGAAACACGGAAAAACTCGAGATAGTAAATTATTATTTGACAATGTTGCTACGCTCATTACCGAAGTGGAACCGCCAGAGGTCGTTGGAGGGGTGCGCGTTGGTCTCGCCCCCGTAGATGTAGAGGTGCGCCCCCGCGCGCAGCCCCGCGTGCCCCGACACCGGCCCCGGGCCCAGCCGCCCCGCCCCTCGCATATAGGACAATGTTGCTACGCTCATTACCGAAGTGGAACCGCCAGAGGTCGTTGGAGGGGTGCGCGTTGGTCTCGCCCCCGTAGATGTAGAGGTGCGCCCCCGCGCGCAGCCCCGCGTGCCCCGACACCGGCCCCGGGCCCAGCCGCCCCGCCCCTCGCATATATGACAATGTTGCTACGCTCATTACCGAAGTGGAACCGCCAGAGGTCGTTGGAGGGGTGCGCGTTGGTCTCGCCCCCGTAGATGTAGAGGTGCGCCCCCGCGCGCAGCCCCGCGTGCCCCGACACCGGCCCCGGGCCCAGCCGCCCCGCCCCTCGCATATATGACAATGTTGCTACGCTCATTACCGAAGTGGAACCGCCAGAGGTCGTTGGAGGGGTGCGCGTTAGTCTCGCCCCCGTAGATGTAGAGGTGCGCCCCCGCGCGCAGCCCCGCGTGCCCCGACACCGGCCCCGGGCCCAGCCGCCCCGCCCCTCGCATATATGACAATGTTGCTACGCTCATTACCGAAGTGGAACCGCCAGAGGTCGTTGGAGGGGTGCGCGTTAGTCTCGCCCCCGTAGATGTAGAGGTGCGCCCCCGCGCGCAGCCCCGCGTGCCCCGACACCGGCCCCGGGCCCAGCCGCCCCGCCCCTCGCATATATGACAATGTTGCTACGCTCATTACCGAAGTGGAACCGCCAGAGGTCGTTGGAGGGGTGCGCGTTAGTCTCGCCCCCGTAGATGTAGAGGTGCGCCCCCGCGCGCAGCCCCGCGTGCCCCGACACCGGCCCCGGGCCCAGCCGCCCCGCCACTCGCACCGCCGTCCATACGCGCGACACTGACCAGAACAATACGAGTATGCGCGTCAACATCATCTCACAACATAATACAAAATTACTTTCCGGATTGTCTCTTGTACTGTAAACTGACTTTTTGGGAAATATAAACCGTTTTCATTTTTCATGTTCAAAATATAGGCATAAAAGGAAACGAGGAATTAAATCTCACGGAAATTTTGCACCTTTTCAAAAAGATTAAAAAAACTGAGTTCAAATAGACTTTTTCTTGCGTATATTATGTATTTGGGATAGGCTCAATCCTACTTTCTCATCTGTTGCAAGAATTGAAATTGATGTTTTTAGTGTGATGTGTGCATGTGATAGGTACTGACTGGTGTCGTAGTGCCAGAGGTCGGCGCAGTCCCGCAGGTCGCACTGCCCGCCGTGCACGTAGAGGCGGTTGTCGTGGAGCGCGGCGGCGTGCCGGTGCCGCGCGGGGCCCGCGTTGGCGGTCCGCACCTGGTGCCACGACTCCGTCTCTGCCGACCAACACATAACTTATTAATTAGGTACCTGTCTGATGACCTCGCCCCGATTGACGCTTACTTTGAGACGAAGAAGACGATATATCGCATCAGCTATCTTCATCTTACTATTTCGTACTATCCCACCCCATAGATCCTGTTTTATTTATTACTCGACTACAGTCTCCTGCATATTGAAAGAAAATATCCAAACTGGGAGCTCCAATTCCAGCTGAAAAACCCCTATTTCTTGTTTTAAACTTTCATGGTCACTAACATTATAGCCATTAACGGGATTGTTACCATGCACCTTGTTATTTATGAGTCTCCGATATTTCCATTTATTTATGATCACGGAGTAATTGAAGTAATTGCGGGTAGATGTTATTGACAGACATATCGGTCTACCCTCTGACGTCGTCTTTTACTGCGCTCGATACTCCTACCACTGGTCACATTCTCACTATTCACTCACACTTGTTCCCGACACACAAGACTCACAGTATCAGACCGCGCAACGACACTTTTTTGATTTTTGCGGTTTTTACACATACGATCCACTAGATTACAGACATTTGACAATTTAAACCGATCCTCACGATTGAAATTCTTGTATTTGGTTATTTCAATCGCTACCCTGACCAATCATGGTATGTAGTGGCGTTCTGTCGAGATAATTTGTGGATTATGGAGCTCAATTCAGTGATTAGGACCCGAATCAATTACATGTTCCGCGATGGCTGATTTTGTGCGTATTATTATTTCTGACAGCTTTTATGTGTTCTTTCATTCGGCACGCTATTGTCCGCTTCGTTAGGCCAATATTGTCATCTACCCGCAATTACTTCAGTTACTCCGTGATCATGGCGCTTGCAACAGTGCCGAAATATCGGAGACTCATAAAAAACATGGTAACAACCCCATTAATAACTTTAATATAAACCCGTATTTCTTACATGCGACAGAAGCTACAATAATTTCCCGTACAGTACTAAAGTAAATATGCCTAATTTTCTAGAATCAGTTGATACCGGTGGAGTTCATTAACTCCAATATTGCAACAATAGAGAAGTCAATGACTTTGTGATAGACAATAGTCTACTAATCGCCTTTAATACTCACCATAGTGGAACGCCCATAGTTCGTTGGTAGACCCCCTGAGATCCTTATAGCCGCCGTAGATCAGAAGGCAGTCCTTGAGCGCGTGAGCAGAATGTCCACGCCGGCCTTTCGGGGTGTTGGAGACACGCTGCTCCTTGGTCGAGCGCCGCCGCAGCGTCGCCGAATAGTTGCCTGCCTTGCTCTGCCCCGGCAGCTTGCGCCATATACGAGTCTACGAAAACAAAATTCAATACTTATGGGCTGATATTAACGCCTACAAGGGCATACAATAGTTCCATAAAAAAATAGCATAGCTGAAAGAAGCGAAGCGATTCATATTTTTCGATATTGTCGATGTCTAAACGGGATATCATAGCAATAATATTGCTATATAAACGCCCTTTGCTGAATGTAGAATGGTGTGATTAAAGAAATATTTAGGGCAGTTTGATAGAGGATATTTCAGGCTTCCCCGACTCCCTGTCAACTGTCGAAAGGGCTGTTACGTTTATAATATTTATTGAAGAACAACAGATTTTAGGTCGATTCTTGAGTTCCATTTGCGTGATTCAATGCCATATGCAAATGCAAGTGAAAGATTCTTTCAACAAGCGACTAGCTATTGTTGTGAGTGAACGAAATATGGTTATTCCCCTTTATAGTATGCTATTATGTAGTGCTAGTGTTGTATTGAAGACTAACAGGTTTTTAAGACTCTTTGATCTATCTATGACTTGAATCGCATATAATGAAATTAAGTTTTTCTCAGCGTTTACTTGAGATCTACCTAGATTTTGCAAATTTCGCTACTACCTACCGTATTTGGCTGCAATTTTCTGAATTATGATTTTATGACGCTGTCTTTACTCCTGCAGCGTTGCCGATGTATGAGTGCCGTGTGGCTGTGTACGTGTGAATGTTTACTTGCGTGTCGTAGATCCAGAGCGGCGTCTCGTTGGAGCTGGCGCCGGGCTCGCCCCCGAACACGTAGAGGCGCTGCTCGTGCCGATGTATGAGTGCCGTGTGGCTGTGTACGTGTGAATGTTTACTTGCGTGTCGTAGATCCAGAGCGGCGTCTCGTTGGAGCTGGCGCCGGGCTCGCCCCCGAACACGTAGAGGCGCTGCTCGTGCCGATGTATGAGTGCCGTGTGGCTGTGTACGTGTGAATGTTTACTTGCGTGTCGTAGATCCAGAGCGGCGTCTCGTTGGAGCTGGCGCCGGGCTCGCCCCCGAACACGTAGAGGCGCTGCTCGTGCCGATGTATGAGTGCCGTGTGGCTGTGTACGTGTGAATGTTTACTTGCGTGTCGTAGATCCAGAGCGGCGTCTCGTTGGAGCTGGCGCCGGGCTCGCCCCCGAACACGTAGAGGCGCTGCTCGTGCCGATGTATGAGTGCCGTGTGGCTGTGTACGTGTGAATGTTTACTTGCGTGTCGTAGATCCAGAGCGGCGTCTCGTTGGAGCTGGCGCCGGGCTCGCCCCCGAACACGTAGAGGCGCTGCTCGTGCCGATGTATGAGTGCCGTGTGGCTGTGTACGTGTGAATGTTTACTTGCGTGTCGTAGATCCAGAGCGGCGTCTCGTTGGAGCTGGCGCCGGGCTCGCCCCCGAACACGTAGAGGCGCTGCTCGTGCCGATGTATGAGTGCCGTGTGGCTGTGTACGTGTGAATGTTTACTTGCGTGTCGTAGATCCAGAGCGGCGTCTCGTTGGAGCTGGCGCCGGGCTCGCCCCCGAACACGTAGAGGCGCTGCTCGTGCCGATGTATGAGTGCCGTGTGGCTGTGTACGTGTGAATGTTTACTTGCGTGTCGTAGATCCAGAGCGGCGTCTCGTTGGAGCTGGCGCCGGGCTCGCCCCCGAACACGTAGAGGCGCTGCTCGTGCGCGGTGGCGCTGTGCTCCTGCAGCGCGGGCGGCGGCTCCCCGCGACACTCCAGCCGCTCCCACACGCCCGTAGCTGTAAATAACAGAAGTTACAATTTTAGCGAAGAATATAATTCCACACTTGGAACTATGCCTATCAAATCCTTTGGCTATTATCCATTTCGTTACCCAACAAAATTTTTACTCGTACATCTCTGCTTCAATTCCCTAGAGGTGAGAAGATTCATCGACCAATTAACCATATCTGTGTGAAAACGCCTAAAGGATCTGTTGATTGCCTCCACTTACACAATCTTTTGTGTATTCTGTTTGTCCCCGACAAACCTGGGCTTCCACCGGAACGCAGGCGCGGTCAGAACAGAGGCAACACCGTGGCGCGTGCGATGTCACCTTTGGTTAGATCATTGCGTAACCTCAATGCACTCCGGGACGCCAACACTGAATTTGACTTTTCTTTTGACAGTTGGTCTACCATCAAGTCAGCATTATTATGTTATTGTGAAAGTCTGACGGATCAGTGGAGCAATACTGGTTGCACTGACAATGAGGATAGTGCTTGACTTGATTTTTTTGTTAAAACATATAATTTTTATTTGAAATGCTTAACCTATTTATAGTATATAATATTGACGTTTTATGATATATTATGATAATCATTTAAAATGTGTGAAACTGAAAAATGAAAATTGTAATTGCTTTTTGTCGTTTTTATCACAATAAATAAAATAAAAAAAAAATGTCATTGATTTTGGTTTTATGAGGCGCAACTAATTACACCTCTCTATCTGATGTTAAATGTAAGTGGAGTCCAGTCGCGAAGACAAATGATGCGGCAGAAGGTGTACAGCTCCAGCCATTCTCACCTTGCCGGCCTGAACCCATTCCCCTACCCCGCAGAATCCTGGAACTCTAAACACCAGCAGAAACACCACACAACCACCGGTAGTGTTATTTTACTATGCTCTTCTGTAAAGTGGATATTGCTTCCCCAGACCGGTGCTCCAATTCCAGCGGTAAATCCACTTACAAAAATGGCTTAATCTTACTACACCAAAAGATTCCCATATTTTTCATTGATGATACTCTAATACTATAGCCACGTTATCGCGTAATGATATTGGTACAGTTACCGTGACAACGTAAATTTTCATGTTATTTTAATAGTGTGGCCCGCTTAACAATATGAATCGCTAATTTGACTGCCGCTTCAGTTATCTTCACAATATCAAATAAAGCAGGAATACCACAACTTAAAAAAGGAGCTGATACGAAAACTTTAAAGAGTGTGTCTTGAAAAACAGACGTGACGTTAGCTCGTCGTGATTGCCCCCTCGAGCTGTAGTGGCCGACCGACCCAGTTGGCGTGAGTTTAGGGAACCTCCTCAGAGAGATAAATTGCTGACGGAACCGACTACGGCGGCATACCTACTCGAGGCATCTCTCGAGCGAAACTATCCTATTTAGGTTGGTTTGCAAATTGAGACGATTTCAAGTTATATAAAAAGTGTTCAACATTGTAAGCTGTTTTATAGAAGTTTCTTATCTCCATATTTTAGTATAGTTCATTACTCGTATCACATTGGAAAAAATATATCTATTATCAAACCTGGATCTATTGTATGGTTGTGATACTACCAAACTATGTTTTATTTAGAATTATTAAAGAATTATAGTCTTAAGATTACAGGGGCTACTAATATTATTATCTATTCCTGATAGGAAGTTAGTACTTAAAGATTTAGTATTTCTCTTCAGACATGACGCACTGTAACGTTGTTACATATTTATTTTTTAAAACTTATAATATACTATTTAAAATTAAATTAAGCTATATATTAATATTATTAATAGGAAGGTATTTTAGTTAATAATATTATTAACTAAAATACGAATAAGTTTTTGAATGCAATCGCGTTGCACGCGCGTTATCCAAGTTTGGCGACTTGTTTGTTGAGTTCCTCCCCCCCCCCCCTCTCTTAGCTGCACCGCGAGCTGGCTGCCCATCGGCGCGGCCGGCCATCTATCTGACACTCCGAAATTGATCTTTGAGCAGACCCGCGCTTGTCTGTGCTACCAGCGACCTTGCGGGCAACGCGCAGTGGTTATTTTTATTAATAAATAAATGTAAAGGATACTGACCGAGGCAGTACCGCCAGAAGTCCCGCAGAGGCACGGCGCCGCCCGCCCCCCGCCCGCCCAGTACATACACGTAGCCGCCCAGCAGCGTGGCCGAGTGCTTGCCCCGGCTGCAGGGCGCCGCGCCGCTCTTCGCGCCGCACTCCACCGACGACCACATCTCATCTGCAATAACAAACATATTGTTTAAATAATCAAAATAATAGAGCAATCACTTTATGAAATACTAGCGGCCCGCCCTCGCTTCGCTTCGGTGTAGAGCTGAAGTGTAGATTACAGTTTTTGTTCTCAGACTTGTATTATACACAATGACATTCATCTATGGTTCTTCTTATACCTACATGCAAAGTCTCAGCCCGATCGGTTTAAAATTGACAAAGTTTCATACAAACTTTCATTCCCTATTTTATCCACTTGGGGGTAGAATTGATCAAAATCCTTTCTTAGCGGATGTCTACGTTATAACATCTACCTGCATGCCAAATTTCAGCCCGATCCGTCCAGTGGTTTGGGCTGTGCGTTGATAGATCACTATGTCAGTCAGACCTTTGAGTTTTATATATATATAGATAGATATATATAGATAGATACAAGATTTGAGCAACTCTGTCACATGGATATGTGGATATCACACATCGAGATAATAAAGTGGATACCTTGGATATATAAATTTATTTATGTGGCAGTTTACATTTAATGCCACTTGTTTTGCACCGTTATTCCTTCCATGTGATCAAGTTGGGATAAGTAGCCTAAGTATTTCAGTAGAGGCAATTAAAGCTCGTATATTTTCGTCGTACCGTAAAAAAATACGAATTTTAAAATTGCATCCGCTATATTGTTTGAAACGAGAAATTGCAGCCGCAGGGAAAATGCGTAACACATTATGTAAGGATATATCAAAGGAATTTCTCTGAAAGCGATGCACTTTCCACCCTCGGAATCAACGCCGCTCCATATGCGCGGCAAATGAAATGGGTCGGGCTCCCTCAGGGCTCCTCGCTCGGCCCCCCGTTTCTCCTAAGTATTACTTATTGGGAATTTGCGACCCTCGCTGCAACAAGGGGCTGTTTGAGCAACTGATCGCTTACAACATGTAAATATTGGTTAAACGAAAGCCGGATGTGCAGACAGATGTAATGCATTTGGCTCTGCTAACCTGCCCTTGCCGATTAACGTTTCAAATTGGCTTTCTACTTGTCTATTTATTACTTCGTTCATTTAAGGATCTCAATGGGACAAATCAACCAGTGTCTAGTCCTTTTGCAGTGTTGGCAAAGATTGTCCGCTGTCACGCATAAAAATACTTATATAAACATTTTTATAATACAAAGTCCAAAGATTACGAAAAGAACGAACCAAGGCCGCGTTGTTTCAGCGGTAGTTTTTTTTTATTATAGTTAAAGCCACGATAGATACATAGTAAATGAGTAAAATTTTGACAAATGGTTATTGTTTGCTATAGGATTTGACTATAGTTAAATTTAACTATCGATGAAAAACACATCGTTAGGGTATAGATTCGTAAATGTAATACGGATTTAGCTGCCATTATGACAGCTAAATCCATGACTCCTGGTAAAGTCATACTTTGCCAGAAGGAAATAATTTAACTATTGAACCAAAGACAAGAAGCATGCACGGTGCCAATAAGAAGACGTTCAGTCTCTAAGCGTTCAGTCGATGTAAATTTGATAATAGACGATATCAAAATGTTTATACATAGTTTGTATAAGACTTACATATTTAAATATTTAATAGCTTGTAATGTAATAATTTAATAAGAATATTTTCTGTGAAATTTCAAGTAACTATATGGTATTATAAAGTAAGATAAATGAAAAAGGTCTCGTTAGGAAGCTTTGTAGGCATAACGACCTGATCTTGGGCGCTTGCCAACAGTCAAAGCGGTTACAGTGCGATATTTTAATCATTAATCAAACTTTTGCTAGTTCAGTTTAACTCAGTATCATAGACTTGTGTGATAGCAAAAAATATGGTCATCTATTTACAACCACATTTGTGGTGGTAAGCGTTGTTCGATAATATAACTTTCTTTTACTTTCGTTAGCATAGGATTAATGATAATTTTCCAATTCACTGTTTGTTAGTGATCATAATATAAAATCTTAAAGTGATAAACTAAGCTTGGGCTGGTTTTTTGTTTGTAGTTTATTAGTTTGTAGTCTCTGTGTATTCATCGAACTACAAAATGTCATTCAAGTGATGTGAATTTATAAAATTGCGAGTCAATAAGTTTTAGGGGGGTTAGGTATTACGATTTAGTAATGTAATCATTTGTCATTATTTTGTTTTGTTTAAGAAATTTCATAAGGTACTAGTTGTTATTTTCAAAAAATATACATATAATTAACAATATTAAAAAGGTGATTTTCCATAAGTAAGTACGTAGTCTTGCTGACCAGTAAAAGCTTTAAATATACCTATAGATTTAGCATAGAGAACGAGTCGATAGCGTTACATAATCAATTCAACAACAGCAGAAAATACAAACGTAGACATTGCATCAATAGGGTATTTGACAAATTTTAGAAAACGATCTCACGTTATTGACTAATGTTTATGGAGTCCGTAAAAAGTGGATATTCATCATTCTGTTGTGTATTTCAGTAAAAATAACCAAATCAAAAACTCCATTTTCAAATTGCCGCGAAAACGTTTCTCTTTACGTCGTATATGGCGTCTTACTAGCGTGTGATGTCACACGACTGTTATTAAAACGTTAAACGATACAATGTAATGTCACTTTATCCGGAAGTTTACTTGCGTGGGACGTCATTTTAGGCTCCGCCAATCCCAAGCGTTTTGGGTCACGTGACAATAGATAAGAAAACTATATTATCTTTTTTGTTAGTTTTTAGTAAAATTATGAATATTTTTATTGTAAAAATAGTAAAAAACTCCTGCCAATATTCATTCTAAACACAGATGCTAACAATTGGCACTTTATTTTTAACACTGTCAAATACCCTATTGCTGCATGTAATCAAGTAACATACAGAATCATCCTGTGATGATTCTGTGTGTGATATCAATAATATCGACTTTAGGTTGAACATTTCTTGAGAAATTTATTTAAGATATAAAAATGTAGCAGTTTATTGCTATACATTTAATAAAAATAATGTACATGACTTTGAATTGCGATCCAATTTTATTTGCGATGTCAATGTCATGAAACTGTGTCTGTAGATAAACCGGTGAGAGGCTGCAGTTGAATATTCAAGTTTATGTCGTTTGTTTAATATCGTCACGACATCACAATTATTCGCTCAATAAGTTTTGATGTCACCATAAGCGGTGGAACTCGAAACTTCCTCAACGGAATATTCGCACGCAAATTACCAATATTAAATTACTTAGAAGGACTATAGTTTTAGTTTTAAGACTTGTATTAAACACATAAACTTTCGCGAAAAAATATCTTAGTGATGGTGAAAACCGCATAAAAATGATCTGTTTTTAAAAGAATTATCCATATTAAATAAAGACCAAGCTCAGATACTTAATATTTTTTTGAGTTGTATGTATTACTTAGTTTTTTGTGTCAATTTGTTTGCAGAAAAGAATGAGTTTAACTACATTTAAATATATATATATATATATATTCTGTAGTGACGTGTTCCTGAAATGTGTGACATTACAGATAAATAGAGTAGGGCAGTATCCTTAGAAATCAGTATCCTTAACACGAACTTATATCAAACGTCAAGTAATTTTGAAAGATTTTTCATTCACGATAAGTCCGTTGTGGCGTTCACTGTTCAAGTTTCCATAGCCACCTTTTGAGATTTGACGCGCATTGCGAACGAATTCAACTTTTCAATTTCGATAAAGGTTCATGCTAAGGGGACCGTTATCTATGCAATTGCCATTCTATAGATAGGTCAATCATATCGGTGAGTTATTAATCAACGCTAAACTGATTTATATATTGATTCGTGCCCTTTTATCCGTGCGGTGACGGAGAAAGAATACAACTCACCGCCCCTTCTCTTCCCGTGGGTGTCGTAAAAGGCGACTAAGGGATATCGGAGCTTCCATCCGCTCCTCTGGTGGTAGGGTGCCTAACACCCGCCTGGTTTGCTACCACCGTGCGCATGGTGAAAAACCCGTGAAGTGCTTCTCGCGCGTTTCGGGGTCAGCTAGCGTACAACCAGGGCTCGAGTGGAGGTTGTCGCGACGGATTCGGTCCAGGGCGAGGCATCCGTCGAACCGATGCCGGGAGGACTGCATCGACCCGCCGGCCAGGGAGACCCGTAGAAACGGCTGTCCCGCTGGCCGCCCGTGGCACAGTACAGGGGCCCGAGCGTTCCTAACCAGTTCGCGAGGCTGCCCTATCATGTCACGCATAATCTCGGGGTGGACCGTCGTGCCGGTTGGTGACCGGGGCGTGGGGTCCCGGCGGCCACTTCCGGGGGGGTGCGGGGGCCCTTCCGTCCGGCGGGTCGGCGTATATCCTCTGCAGGCAATCATTCGGGAAAACATGCCTTCCTAATTTGCCCGGTCTTGTCGCGACAAAGTCTACTCGTTTCACGTCTCTTTTTTAACTTCCATAATGGCAGCTCTCAAAACAAAGTTTGGACGTTCAGCGGTGCACACCCCCACGCCTTCAACGCTGTTTGAGGTCGAGTTCTGCAACATACGCGGACTCCACTCTGACCTCAATGCTGTCCACCACCACCTTGAGACAGCACGGCCAGCATTGTTGTTCCTGACGGAGACACAAATACTTCCGCCTGCTGACACAGGCTACCTTAACTATCCCGGCTCCGTGCTTGAAGAGTCCTTCAAAGCGAAAGCCGGTGTATGCCTGTATGTTCGGGCGGATGTTTGTTGTCGCCGTCTCCGCTGCTTGGAAGATCCCACCTTCTCCATATTGGGGGTACACGTCGACTCAGGTCGCCAGGCCAGAGTCTACGTGTGCCTCTACAGATCCCATACTGGTGATGTTGAGACAACTCGACTTTTCGAACATCTTAGTCGGGCAGCAGATGACGCGCAGGAGCAATTTCCCAATGCAGAATTGGTGTTTTTGGGGGACTTTAATGCTCACCACAATTTATGGTTAAGTTCCTCGAAAACTGACCATGCAGGGATCTCTGCTCACGCGTTCGCTCTCACGCATGACTTGGAGCAACTGGTTGATCAGCCCACCAGGATTCCAGATATTTCAAGTCAAGCGCCTTCATTGCTGGACCTTCTGCTCACGACCCATCCACAGGGCTATCAGGTTGTGGTAGGAGCCCCCCTGGGCTCTT